AATTTTGAAATGCATCTAAATGTCTAAATTCTCAACAAATTTAAGAATTTACTTATATTTTAAACTAGCGACCCGCCCTCGCTTCGCTTCGGAAACATTAAATTTTAATATTGATAGGCGAAGCCCGCCATATTGCGCGCGGTACGACAATAACTGCGGGTGACGCCGCGGGGCGAAGCTAGTCTAAAACAGTAGCCTACGTTACTCCTTATATCATCCGCTACCTATTAGTGAAAGTCTCATCAAAATCGGTCCAGCCGTTCCAGAGATTAGCCGGAACAAACAGACAGACAGACAAACAAAAATTGTAAAAAAAAATTTTTTGGTGTATGTACCGTATATATAGTCATATGCATGTAGTAAAAAGTGATTATTTCAATTCTACAAACAGACACTCTAATTTTATTTATTTATGTATAGATGTCTTAATAATACTCGAAATCTTAATATGAAAGCAAAATTCAACGTACAACACCGTTTGTATCTAAACGGAAAAACCTTTCTGAGGCGGAAACTCGAAAGATACATGTACAAAATTAGTTTGCTGATGCGATAATTGACGACGTTGTTTGTCACGGTGTCGTCTTGCTTCCGTCTCTTTATGACAAAAGACGCCCGGGGCCTGTCACGCTAGTTTTCCATTGTTATTCGAACGGGAGTACAAGCACGGGAAAGTTTCACATTACAATCGGTGATCAGTTGTTAGGAAAACGAGCTAGTGAAGCTAATGAGATCCTCGGAGGTTTGAGATTTCATTTTAAGAGAGAGAGAGAGAGAGAGAGAGATGGATTTATCGAATGTCTGAAATATGTTTCTATTACTCGATCTTATTTGTCATTTAATGTTTCAGTTAATGCTAATCTCTATATATAAAAATGAATTGCTGTTCGTTAGTCTCGCTAAAACTCGAGGACGGCTGTACCTACCGATTTGGCTAATTTTGGTCTTGAATTATTCGAGGAAGTCCAGGGAAGGTTTAAAAGGTGAGAAAATATAAAAAAGCTCGGAATTATATAAAAACAAACAATTTTGTTTTTCCCTTGATGTGTCCCCTTGATGTGTCTTTTATTTATCGAGTGAGGCACTACAAAGTCTACCGGGTCAGCTAGTTAAATATATAATTTTACGTCGAATTGAATTTACTTGCAAAGCAATTATTTGACAATAATGATTAAATTCTTTACTCAGAATGATTAGTTATTCTGAATCAGCATAGTCAGGCTCAAAATGTAAGCCAAAGTAGACCTTAAGGTCTGAGGAAATTACGGGAAAGAAACATCATTAACCTTACTATTCACGCAAGAATCTGTATGCATTTTGTTATAAAATTTTCATTAATAAACTGCTTCATAAATACACACTGGCTGAAGCACTTCGCTAGAAATACTAGTTAAAAGTTACATATTAGTTCTCGTTGTGATGCTAATGGATTCCGGTAATAACTTCACACATGACGTGGCGCGAGCTCACTTACCTATTTAGATAAAAAAAAAAAAGATTTTATTTTAGCTTTCTATCTAGATTATTTCTTTTCTTTTATTTTCTATCTACATTCTGAATGCTATTAGTCTCTTTTTTTAAGGAATCTGGATCTAGCCATAGTTTGTAAATTAATGCGTAACCGACGCTATTGCAAACGCCGTTATCGCCGGTAGATATAGGGAATTTATTAAAAACCATCGTGGTAAAAACGTACTAATAATTAAGAACAAAAGCTCCTTGAAAAATAACACAGTATAACAATGTTGACAAATAGACACATAGTGACATCTTTTGATAAAAACAAAAACTTAATTTAATTTCTAGAAATCCGGCGGTCTTGAAAAGTCTAGATTGAATATCGATTAGTTTTGATATGAATTTAAGCTATCATCACTTAGCATGTCGTAAATAGATTTGTCGAAATTATTCGCACGCCATCTATCAAATGTGAAAGGTAATAAACCAGAAATCTTTCCGACAAAAGCGCCAGTAGTATTACTTTTTATAGTTTTAGTTTTAGGTCGTTGGTCGATAGATGGATATATTCATATAATTTACAGCTCGTTGCCAACCTTAAAATAATCGCACTAAATCTGTTGTGAAGGCAGATGTGGCAAAGTCTTCGCTAGAAGTAAGTGTTCTGTGGGCAAAGTCTTTAGGATATGTAGTTGAACATAAACGAACTTCGGTTGTTCATAGTTCTAGCTAAAATAAAATAAAAGTTACCTAAAGTAATAGTACAATAACTGCCTATAGCAGTGCCATCAACACCCACCTTATATGTTCGAAGACACGCTCTTTCACCCTTCAAACCAAAATACATTTGCTTTCGGTGTATTTTTATATTTGTTATGCAAGCGTATACACTACGAAATAATAATTATAATTTGGGTGTATTTTAGACGGGTGAACAAGCTCACGGCACACTTGGTGGTTACAATGTGGATAACGCCATCCATCGTGAAACATGACACTCGTAGAATTTAACCTGTGTCCCGAGCTTCAAACGGGAACATATGGTTGTTTCGTAGTAGGATAGGAGATTTTATAGTAGGAATGGAATGCCTAAGGTAAGGGCAGTAAAAATTGGGAACATGTTGTAATGAGATATGTTATAATGACTTTATGAAGATTTTGCCTTGTCTTATTGATCCCGGTCTCCTAGAGTTGCTGATTTTATTGTTCTACTATCGGTCCATAGTATATATGTTTTTTCTTTTTGTTGCCCTATGCCCTGTGCCTCCGTTCAATCATCAAATTGGGAACAATCCCAGAATGTTTGAGGTAAGATGGGCGTCAAATATAATGTATGTAACAATTTAAATATTCACAAATTTCAGGGAACATGTACTGTCAAGTGTATGGACTAGTCAATTAATAGATAGAAGTAGCACAGCCTATTAATACAACTCAAACGAATAAAAATACAGGTCTGTCTGTCTGTACAAAACAATTTAATGAATACTTTTTAATAACCGTTGTTTATTTAATGAATTTTCTTTCGAAGTATTAGCTAGTCTAATATTATGATGGAATAAAACAAGACTCCGTAATTTATTCATAATTATGTATATTGATTATTAAAACGTTACATTTTGATTCTGATAGCATTGACAATAAGTGATATGATTCAAAATTTTATATGTTTTTTTTTTATGAAACAATTAAGATATTTATTATTATAGTATATTATACGCCACATATATTCTTTTCGTTTAAAATAATAATTCTTAATAGTCATAAAATCTATGTAAAAGTTTTAAATACCAAAGTCGCAATTCTCGTATATTCGTGTCAATGTTGGTATTTTACCCCAATTTCATTTGTATCTTATAAATAATCAGATATAATTTGATTTTAAACCCGATTAAGAGAATCACGCTAATAAATTTAACATAAAATCATATTTCACATTTTGTACAAAAAAGCTTCATTTTTGTGTTTTTTCTTTGTTTTAAAATGCACGAGTAAATTCCTATTCAAATAATAATATATATATTGTACACATTTTATTGATAATTTTATGTGAATTAATTTCCTCAAATATTTATTAAACTATCACAGTACACAGATCCCTAAACTTTTTTCTTTTTTTCTAATCGAAGCTTATTATTGCACAAGAAAAAAAAACCGTAATATAATTCAAGTCTAAGACCTCTCGTGCTAGCTACAATAATTACGAAATACATAGGTACTTAATAAATCTATCATAAAAACTGCACATTGTATGAAAATCTCAGAACGGTTTATAAATAATTGACGGCTGTTTTGTCGATATCTTCTGAATTATGGTACTGAGAGCTGCTATATTATTTTCAAGAAAAACGCTTTTAAATGATTTAACATTTAGTACACAAAAAAAGAATCATTATGTAAAAGTATCAGAATACGCTTCAGAACAAGAGCGACCGCTTTCACATCTGAATTTTATGTTTTTAATCTGAAACATATTGTTATTTATGTCATATGGTATATTTTTCTATTTTTTTATGTATACATGGTTGTTTACAAAAAAGCTTACTCGCTAATACAATTTTTTTTCCATTCAGATTCACTAAAGAACAGAAATAAATTAAATTAAATTCATTAGCTCAATCAGTATGACGAATTGATAGGTTTGAGCCAATGTAATTGGGATAGTTATGTGTTCTAAATATAGATGGCGCTATATTTGTCAAATCTAATTTATAAATGGGAATCAAAATTTAAAAAACCCGATCAAAGATTTTCACGTGTGCAGACGTCGACACTCGTCATATACTTAATAAGCTCTTAAAATAATTACAACAAAGAATAAGGAAAGTAACTAACCGTACATACCTAAAGAAATACCTAATTCATTACTCTTTGGATTTCTCGGTTTAGGTATTCACTAGGTTTGGAGCGTTGCTAATAGGAAAACAGTGAAAGTCAGGTACAGTTCGTCAAAGAATTGAAGGATATAAAAAGGATTCGTGTAAATTTCTTAATTCGATGAGGACTACGTGCAAGCTATCTTAAATGGCACTTTCTAGATTTTTATATCGTCAATAATAATTCAAGTTAAGTGTCTCGTTTGTAGGTCATACTTAAAAATAATTACTTAATTTATTAGTCTGAACGAGTTCCTTATATTTCAGCGCTGTTGCCAATACTATGATTCCTGGTAGACCGAAGACTGCGGTAGGTAGTTTTTACAAAGAGGCTAAAACTATCGACAGCGTAAGTGTATGATTGTATTGTGTGTGTATTGTGTTATGAATACCGAAGATAACACATAAAAATGGATTGAAAAGAGTGTTAATTTGTGTGTTTCGAACATTAGACCGCAGTCTTGAAGTTTACCCTTAATCATGGCCCTTACAATATTACGGACTCAATGAAACGAAAATAGGTGGTAAGAGTTCTCTATATAGCAGTGTTTATGAATGTAAGAATCTGCTATGTATAGATGTAAGCATCCACATTTTTTTTAGTTATTCATAAATACATATATATACATACAGATACGTATTAGTAGATAAAGAGATCAGTAGAGTGAAATAGTTAAATTTAGGGTAAAGTCACATTTACGCGGCGATAGTTCATTGTGCGCATTCAGTTGAGTTATCGAACGTTTTTTATCATATGAAATTATGATTACAAGATTCAGGTATATCAATTTAGCGTGTATATAAAAAAATATGTTTCCGCTTCTTCGATATTCGTACAAGACGAGTAACTATCTCCGTGTAAATATCCCTTGAGTTCATGGTAGTTTATAGTTTTCAAAATAATTTTACGGTGAATGCTTAATTATTATTAAGCATCACAGTAAATAAATTTACGATATGTTTAGATTATACCTCGAAACAAAAATATTTAAGTACCGTAACAATATAATTTAAATACAATGAGTTTTATTTCGATGTAAGAGCTGTTTTCATTAGAGCTGGTTTTCATTTGCAAAACGAGACACTTAACATAAAATCCACTGACTTCATTTAAGAATGCTATTTTTATTAAATATCAGTCTACGAGATAATAGATTTCTATGTAATAATAAAATAAAATGTAATTTTACAAGAGACGTTTGTCGTTTAATACCGAACTATATTATTATTTTAATTCTAAGCTATTTACTATACAGTTTTCCTTAGAACATTTTTACATTCAGTTTTTCCTGAGAAACATGGCTTCAACGAAGGATAAACAAAAAAAAAAACAATGTAATTGTTATTAGATACCACATTTAAAAACCTAAAGGCCTCCTAAACTAGAAGATCAATTAAAACAAATTTATTTTTGTTTTTACTAAAACCATGCTTGTGATTTCGTTTGGTGGTTTTAGTACTTACATTTTAAAGTTTCCGAGCTTTTACTATTCGTTTCGTACTTTAATTGGTCACGGACGACCGATAAGAGTTTGTCATTGATAGCAAAAACCACTTAGGTAATAAGTTATCATATTTTTGAAGCCATGTTGAATTAAATTAATTCAGTGGGTACTTATTTTTATTCATCGTCGTTCAGAAGATCTGTGCATGATTTAGCTTTGGTAGATCTGAAAAAAACACAAATGTAAATCAATTATTTCGGTGCAGTATTCATAATTGGTATGTTAAAATAAAATGACTACCTTTTACAGTGTTGTAATATGAGTAAGCAGTTGAGACATGTCTAAATGTGGGTGGCGGCATGTGAATTGTTGTTGGCTTCGGTAACCTTTTAACACCAGGACGTATTGTTAGTCTGCACAATATCATTCTGTTTGAAAATACGGGTGAGACAGTCGCTTATTATATTTTTTTATTTTATTTATTGCTTAGGGGTGGACGAGCTCACAGCCCACTTGGTGTTAAGTGGTTACTGGAGCCCATAGACATCTACAACGTAAATGCGCCACCCACCTTGAGATAAGTTCTAAAGTCTCAGTATAGTTACAACGGCTGCCCCACCCTTCAAATCGAAACGCATTACTGCTTCACGGCAGAAATAGGCAGGGCAGTGGTACCTATCCACGCGGACTCACAAGTGGTCCTACCACCAGTAATTACGCAAATTATAATTTTGCGGGTTTGATTTTTATTACACGATGTTATTCCTTCACCGTGGAAGTCAATCGTTAACATTTGTTGAGTACGTATTTCATTAGAAAAATTGGTACCCGCCTGCGGGATTCAAACACCGGTGCATCGCTTCAACACGAATGCACCAGACGTCTTATCCTTTAGGCCACGACGACTTATTATATGATTATATTGAAAACTCGATCTAGTCTCAGAGCCGACAGGGGAATTTTAATTCAGACTAAAAATAATTTATGATTGTGAACAAACCTAACAAGTAACAATTTTATTATTGTTATATTTACTCGAAATATTTTGATGTTTAAAAGCAGGGCTACTGCCATCTATCGGTCGCGGCATAAGTTGTACATTCTTGTAGATTGTGTCTATGGGTTAAGAGTTCTTCGTCAAATTCGAAAGAGTTCACAATATGCTCTGTTTAGTATTTATTTTCAGTTTGTGTATTACAAAAACAAAGCGCTTTACCGCTTGAACGAGTTTGTTAAGTGTTTCAGAAGCTACTGCCTACACTTTTTTTATGTTTTAGAAATTACTGGTGGCCCGAAGGCCTTTGCAGTTTTACCAGGGCAGGTAAGCGAACAAGGGCTCCGCCAGGAGGGGTGGGATTTGCTAACTGCTAGACGAGCGCCTTCAAAAGAGACCTAACAACTCAAGAGTAGCTGCATCTACTACCGGATCAGAATCGCGAAACTGCCTACTCTCAACTACTGCATACTCACTGCGCTGTTTTGACTCGTCGACATATTCTGAGCTCTATAGATCCGGACCTGACTGCTTTGAATAGTGCCAACGCTTCTACATGAGCCAGTTCATGACACGCCTGACCGTTGACCGCCAACACCTCATCTCCTGAAACATGTTTTACGAAAATTTTCATTCAATATTACAAACAGAGTATTGTGAGCTACCGACATTTTAGTGTTGGATTGTGATTCTAAGAATATAATCGCCATTCTAAGAATATATTGTATAATACTTTAACTAATTTTTAATTCGATTTTAGAGTAGCAAATGTAATGGGGATTTTAACAGTTTTATTATTGAAACCCGATCACGCCCCAAACTAATTTGGTGTTTCAATTATTTATATGCAGCGTTATGTTATATTTGATTTTATTAAAAATAAATCGACAATTAATGTTCTAAGCAAAAGTATTCCGCTGCTTAGTACCTTAGCTTTCTGATACGTGAATAAAGCATATACTGGAGTCACAATTTGAAGCTTTGTGAAATTGGCACTAAAGGTACAGACTAGTACCACTACACACTGCATAGGTAATAGCACCATCAACGTATGATCCAGGTGGCACTCGAGTAGTTTTAATAAATTGACGTTTTTCATAGTTTTTTTTGTTTTGTTTTGTAGGCATAGAGGCATACGGCCCCCCTGATGGTGAGTGGTTACCGTCGCCCGTGGACTTTAGCAATGCCAGGGGCAGAGCCAAGCCACAGCCTACTGTCTTAATTTTAGCGATAGCCATAAAACCAACTGGACTATGTTTCACTAACATGTTTAAAATTTTTAAAATAAGTAAATTTTTCAATGTACGCCCAAATCATTTTCTAGTACATTAAATATCCGGTTGCTAAAAGTCATATACTTATATTATGTACCTATATAATATTTACATATAACTGCGTTACTCCAGTTTTCTAGTAAACCAATAGACAGATTTTTGTTATTATAAAATGACTTTAACTATCTCATTAACGTAAACATTTGCATAACGAACAAGCTACTTACTGACTATAGAAGACTTGATCTACAAATAACATAATATATAATTTACATTATTATAATGGTGATTTTATTATTGCATGTCGTCATCAAGCAGCTAAACGACAATATCGTCCTTATCAATTGCATTCCACGATGTTTATTAAATCGAATAAAACTATGTTTTATCAATAAGTGGAAATCGATGTTCTGATATTGATATACAATCAAGTGACGTACCTGCTTTTAGTCGTCCATCGTCGACTGCTTGGCCCTGTGGAAGGATGCTCTTAATGAAGATGCCGAGTGGACCTCGCGGCGAATCGCGTCCTCCCACGATCGTAAACCCGAGCGGTTTCTTCCCGTGACCTTTCTCAAATGTTATCGTGTGATACGTGTGCGTGGGCGCTCTCGGTCTCCGGGGTAGCGTGCAGAAATTCGTTGCGTTTTGTGTATTTTCAATTTCACTGTCATTTTTTTCTTTAACACGCTCCGAAGCACTGTCCGTTGTGTCCACGTTCGCAATGTCGACGGCGCAACTGAGGGCGAGCCCGTCCTTGTTGGCCCCGGCATAGCTGACCACTTGTCGACGCAGCAGTTTGTTGTTCATACTACTGTAAGTCGCGTTCTGTCCCTTTAGGAAGTGGGAGTGCGCGTTGGCCGCACTGTCGGCCACCTCGTCCGCCACTGATAGCGCGCTGCGATTACACGCGGACTCATCCTGCGAACGTCGACCAGTTATTTTGACGTCATATTTATCAATACGTTTTTCCTTTCCTAATATTATTGCGTTTTCGTAATCAACGGAGCTTTCGCGCATCAGGATTGCGCTTCTGTGTGACGAATCGCGCTGTCTTTGTTCTGTCGATGATTTATCGCGTTGTCTGCATATCACGATATCAATTTCGGAAGTTCCTGATTTCAAGGCTTCTTTAGCTTCTGACATAGTAAGATCTCGAAGTCTTCTGCCGTTCACGTTCAATAGTTCGTCCCCAATGCGCAGAGTGCCTTCTCTGAAAAAGAATAATGCTTACTCGAAAAATTGTAATGGAAAAAATAAACACAAATATACATTGTATTTTTACTAACTTTTCAGCTAATCCTCCAGGAACTACATGTGCAACTAAATATCCGATATGACCCTCATCCGTGAGCTTGGTTTTGGCTATAAAAATACCTAATTCATCTGTTGGATTCCTTCGGACTATTTTGACAACTTTAAATTCATTTTTATCTGGTTTACTACCTCTAGTTGGTTTTCTACACGGTGGTATTGGAGGGATACCAGCGTCTCCTAACGTCACATCCCTTTGTCGCATTTTTTGTTTTTCAGTCAGTTGGAGGTATTGAGGTTCATCGTATTCATTTTGTTTGGTTTTTGGCATTCGCCTCAGAATTTCCTTGCGATCAAGTGAAAGTGCTCTTTGGGAATGTCGCGGCCGTGGTCTTGGACCGTCCCTCCGCTCTCGGCTCATTCTACCCGATATTCTAGGCTTTGGATAGTTTTGATCACCGGACACACTTCTCCCGTGACACGGTAATAGTGCATTAGCTTGTGAAGCTGAGCTCTCACACCGAGACGATATCCGATCACTATCAAATATCGATGACGTAGCTGATTCGTTGACTAGAATACCCGAGTCGGCGTCTTCGCAGTCTTGTATTAAAACGTTCTCATCGTCACACGATATTTGATACGCGTCGTCGTGAAAGACGGAATGACTTTTTTGGAAATCGTCCAATCCCGGTAAAGCCCCATATGAAAAGCTACGTAATTTTGCCTTGACTCCTCCTCTTTTTTTTCGACTTTTACTGACAGCATTAGTTGATTTGGTTGCATTTTCGATATTTCCAGTGTCTTCTTCAGCTTCGCCTCCCGGTTTGTATAGCTTGGAGAAAAATTTGTTCGTAGAAGACTTTAAGTATCTATCAGACATTGCTCGTATTTTTGCCGATAGACATGAACTAGGACCAATAGAATCTTTACCATCTTTAGTTTTTAATTTATCAGTCTTTTTGTATTGAGATTTCATTGATATCGGAGCTTCATCAAATGGTTCATATTCGTCATTAAAGATTTGGTCACTAGATTTTGATAATTTTGCGCCGGCTTTAGGTATAGCGTGATATCGGTCACATTCTGAACCGGAGCTGTAGCATCTTGTACCTCTATTGATAAATGATTTTCCCTCCCTCCACTGACTTTCTACAGGACTAGTTACACTTTTGGCAAAAAATACTTCGTCGTCGTAATTTGGCATTTTCACCCAAGGGTTTTGGTTCTCGAATTCAAGGTGGGCGTCAGAAAAATTGTTACTGTACCGACAATTAGTTACATCATCAATGTGACCGAAGCCGCTACAGTCACTTTCTGAAGTAGATGCTGCATCGTCGCCATGCCTTAAAGGACCGTTGGATTTGAAACAAGATAGTTTGGTGTTCTTCACTTTGTCGAGTAGTGGGTTGCGTCTTTCTCGAAATACCATGTATTCCTTCTCGAGAGAACCGCCGCGATTTTTACGCGATGTATTATAGTTCTCCTGCGGTGAAGTGGGGCCGTTTTGTAAAGATATGCGGCGGGAGACCGGCGTTTCACTGCCGTGATTACAACGGTGAGGAGATTTCTCAACTATTATTATTTGATCGTTGAGGTTATAGAAGTTGGTTTCAACCGAACTGCCGCTGCTTTTTCTGTTCGGGTAGCGTACCGGCGATATATCTGCAATAAGAGATACAAAAATCATTGTTTTGACACATTTTGAAGTCAGTTTAGGATTCAGATTTCCTAATAGCTTGTTTCGAATTCGAATGTTCGCGGATGTTTTTCTACAATGCTCTTAAGTCTTAATAAACTTTAAGAACGAATGAAAGAATACTTTACATCCAAATTTGTTTGTTGAGTTTGTTTTAGTCTCACACTAATGTTCCAGTATTATAGTTTAATTACATGCGAGACTTTTTTATCTAATTAAGGTGAGAAATGCATACACTTTACAATAGTCAAACGGTCAAGCATGGAAACTATTTGTGCCTCGCCCTCCTCTATGCTTGTTACGTAACGGTAGCAGCTAATTTCCATGTTTGTTCACCTGAATCCACTGTTATACAACCATCAAGACGTCTTATGTAAAGCGTAAGTAAATACTAAAAAGCCGCGACAAATCCTATATGTAACGCATGATTTCATAATGCAGTGATGCGAATACGAACGAAGGTACGACCTCTTGTGAGTCCGTGCGAGTAGGTACCACCACCCCGTCTATTTCTGCCATGAAGCAGTAATGCGTTTCGGTTCGAAGGGTGGGGCAGCCGTTGTAACTATATTTGAGACCTTAGAACTTATATCTCAAGGTGGGTGGCGCATTTACGTCGTAGATGTCTATGGGCTCCGGTAACCATTTAACACCAGGTGAGCTGTGAGCTCGTCCACCCATCTAAGCAATAAAAATAAGTAAAAAAGGCTTGTTAAAATGATAACGTCCAGAACGTGTCTACCGAATTGTTGGTAAGGTATTATCGGCTGCTTATTTCTGTCGCGAAGCAGTCATGGGTTTGTCGCAAAGCATGAGATCATGCGGTCAATCACCAACCCGATGGATGACCTAATAAAGAAAGCGACCGAGTCCACCACGGTCCAATGTACTCGAAACGTTTCAAACCACAAGGTCTGTGTGCTTAGTGCGAGTTTTTCACTTCTCGATCATCACTTCTCATCTTCACAAAAAAGTCGAATTGAGAAACTGCTCCTATTTTTTTTAAGTCGGTTAATAAATTATAAATTGCGTTTCAAGATATGCTTGTTTATCAAGGAAACTAATTACACAATCAATCGATACAATGCGCAGTCGTATTATTGACTGATTTGTAATTGATTAGTGTAATTAACTAAACAGGTTTTCTAACTAGTAAACTACATTTATTTTATTTTTTATAACACACATATACGAATAATTTAGTAATTTATTTGCGCTGTAAAATTTTATATATTTTATTAATTATTACCTCTGAATATTTAGTCAGAGATACCATCTTACATATTTTATGTCAGGCTAGAAGAAAACTCACTTTCTTGAAAATAATGTGTTAATATTTTTAAACGTAGGATATATTTTTGCGATTTAGAGGCATTTCTGAAAGTGTTTGGGTTCTATTAACAACTGATTGTGCTACTTTAGAAGTAAGTTACTCAATAAACTTGTAAATAAAAGAGAAATTCGACTACAAACTCGTAAATAACGTAAAGTTGATGTCGTCGAAACATAAAACTGAAATCATGTTCACAATCTAGCCTAAGTTAAAATCAAACACCTGGCAACACTGTTTCTTATTTTCTCCACCTTATCCCACTAGGTGGGGTCGGCACAGCTAATTTTTTTCTTCCATTCTCTTCTATCAGCCGTGATCTCAACACTCACTCCTCTCTCCCTCATATCGTCATTCACACACTCCATCTATGACTTCTTCGGTCGACCTCTTCCCTCTCTACCTTGCACTACCATTTCCATACATCTCCTAGTCACATGCATCTTCTCTCATCACATGTTCATACCACGCTAACCGTCCGCTCTTTAATTTGTTGCTTACCGGGGCTACTTTCATACTTCCTCTGATATACTCATTCTTTATCTTGTCCATTTCTGTCACTCCACACAACCCTCTCTACATTCGCATCTCTACCGCATGCATTCCTCTTTCATGCTTTACTTTCGTCGCCCAACATTCAGATCCATACAGCAACACTGTATTTAGATACAATTCAAAAACAAGTAAATGTTTGTTCCCGTTAAACACCAAATATTTGAATTAGGTAAGCTGTAGGAGGTATCGGTAAAAGCTCAACACTGTTGCACGCCAACGCATTCATGTAGGTTAATATACGCAGCATATAATTATTTATACATAATAAAATAGATATGTCGAGCATTATGGAGATTGCAGTTCTTGATCTTAATTAAACTGAAGGACTTAAATACTGAATAAACAGTCGTTCTAACCCATTACTTTTATAAAAACAGTTTTCTATATGATTTATCTGTGATACGATCAGAGAACAAATAATTTGATCAGTGTCAATTTAAACAAAGTGGCATGATCACAAAATCGAAGGCTTAGGAAAGGAGCCTCGAAGATTGGGAATTCTATATCATTCATTATTATTCATTCGCATAAATATATCTAATAGAAAAAAAAAAACATGTCAAACTTGTAATACCTGGTTAACCAGTTGTGTTAAACTTACAATCAAAAACAGCTAGATTGCAGTTGATTGTGCTGTTAAAAATTATTTAAATTCCGTATTTGAAATTTGAAAATGTGTTTTATAAACAACAGGGTAAGCCCGGTCACGCTTCACTTTATAGCTAAATGTTTGAAATTTTCTATTCTTGTCCTGACCATTGTTTTAGGAACACAACTGAAATTAAAAGACTGGCGATTTCATTTTCTTCGATTAAAAGCCCATTTCGAGGAATAGGCAAGCTGATTACCAAAAAGCAGTTTATCACGAAAAATAATCTCAAATTACAAATACTTGTAATCAAATATTAGGTAAACGTTACACCCTTAGAGTATACATAAGGTTACACAAAAGTTTGTAAATTTTACACTAATATTTGACTTTATTATATTACAATATCTTTTATTCGTTATTTATCATGAATGTGTTTTTCACCCATGTGAAATTAAGTTATAATTGTCTCACTGCATACAGGTAGGTATATTTGAAGTCTTTTTATATAAAATTATTTATGCACCAATCGAATTATGTTTAGTAATTCTTATGTTATCTTTACTACAACATTAGCCTTTATTGCCCCCAGTAACTTACTTTTCACTGAAAATTACACATTACACACAATTTGGCTTTAAGTCCTTTTAAGTGTTTTGACTACCACTGCTTACTCGAATTTTACTATGATAGTGTAAAAAATAGAGAACTTTTGTAACAAATTTTAATAACAAGTACAAAGCTACGAGTATTCGGCATTGACTTTTTTTTTTCTGGGCGGGGGCCATACCTCTTACGAGGTCCCCGCACCTAGAGGGTGTACGTGGGATGCCCCTAGGACTGGACGATCTGATGTTGGGAGCGGACTGGGGCCTAAGGATAGTACTCAGGGCCCTACCCACTAAACGACTCCTTTGCGCTCTTGCCCAAGTATCTAATACTATCCGAGGTCAGAACCCAAACATGGTAAGGGGGGTACCGCTTTCAACAGTTAGACTTTGACCTAGAACTCTCTTTTTATTGCGAAAGTAGAAATTATAACGTCATTCCTACTGTTGCAATAAGAGAGCCCAACCTCGATCGTTGCGATTTAAGTAATACGAAGCAATTCAATTTCAAACTTACGGGTGGATCTGTTTTCGGCGTCCGGAGACACGGCGAGCAGCCGCGGCGGCTCGCCTTTCTTAAACCACCGCATTTTATCAGCCCAGTTCAATCCATTCTGAGGTTACTGAAATAAACAAAACAAATGTTGTAATTTCCAAATCGTCTTTTCGAATTAAAAGTGTATAATTTCTAAAAATATTCGAAGTTGAGTTAATAATATGCGGAATCATTTGTTATCATAAATATTTTTCTCATAAATACTGTCAAAAGAGCGTAGTTTAGTTTTATTTTAGTTTTTTTTAGTTTACCTATGTTTTGACTACTATTAACAAAATTAATACATAATTTTATCTTACTCTAAAAAACAGATAATGTAACTGGTAAAAAAAAAAATATATATATTACATGTTAAACTTTTAAAACACTTTCGTGTAAAATTAGTAAGTTTTGAGATTATACAGTTTTAATGCGAGAAGACGAAATAACCACGGCTAAGACTTGTAATTTTGTGAGCCCGCACGCATAGGCACAAGCTCGCCTATTTCTTCCGGAAAGCGGTAATGTGTTTTGGTTTGAACGTTGGAGCAAACGTTGTACTATGGAACCGAGTTTTAGAGCTTATATTTCAAGGTGGGTGGTGGCGGCATTTACATTGTTGGGCTAAGTAAGGGCTTCGGTAACCACTTGACACCCGGTAGGCTTCGTAAGTATAATTATCCCTCTAAAGCAAAAGTATTTGTTCAATCGTTTTTTTTTAGTTCGGCTGTAAGTTTTTACCGGAGCCCATTGATATTACAACGGCTGTCCCACCTTTCGAACTGGAGCGAATGTTCCACCAATGGCTCACAATATTTATTTGCTAGGGCTAGTATTAACAAATTTTCTCAGGTTGAGCCTGTGAGACTACCAGCGAATAGGTAGGGGAAAAAAACAGTATTTATGCTTTTAATTTTAAAACTTAGCACGGTTTTCTCTTGTTAAGACGTTTTTTCTATATATTTTAGTTAATATAATGGATGTTGTTTTGTCTAAAGCTGTACTCACATGTTTTAGCCATTTAACGCATGTATTGAATTTAGTATAAATTTATCACGTGATTCCAGACTCCGCAATTACCTACAACTAGGTCGTAAAAATCGAAAGTCGTCCGTCATTGACAACCAGATCGGTCTGAAGTAACAGCGTGTAAGAAGATGTCGCCATAACTCAGTTGAAATACATTACCGGCTATTTAGTTGTACACCTAAATTCATTAATGGGCAACAGGTTTCTAAAGTTGGTCGGCTCCTTACAAGTCTCAGGCTTAGCAAGACTGGCCGCGTCAAATCATAAAGTAAAATGTTAAATAAACCAAGTCTTGAAGGAATTTGTGTAGGATTTTACGGAATAACCAGGGCTAGTTGCTTTGTTTAGGATAATCATTTTAATTTTCGTTAGTTTCTATGATAATTTCCTGTAAGTTTTCATGTGGTGCGGTTCAAAAGATTTAAAAGTTAATAAATCAGAATGTTTCAATTAAAATTAATTCTACGGCTTATTTTTGACGCGTTGACTATTTTTTACTATTTTATTACGTGTTTCGAATATTGTATATTTTTTACTGCCACAGACGATAATCGTGGGTCGTAAAAGTAGTTTTGAATTACGTCTATGATTCAAGTCGAAAAAAAATTTTCGTAGTAATTTTTCGTAAATGTAATTAAACTAAATATTATCAAATTATTATGAGCTCATTACAGCAATGAGGTCAATTATCAATTAGCCAACGATCCATGTAGTAACATGTGATTTCGTAATTAATGTCATCGAATTCAGATTACACCGAACGATAACATAACGGCTGATTAGCTAAGCTGTGGTGGTTACAACAAATCAATCAATCAAACCATGGCATCGTAAGAATGGAAAAAGAAACTTGAATTCACGTAACATTTAACCTTGTGCGCGATTGAACTTTTTTTGATTTTGTTCACAAAAAAACATCTAAACTCGTTCAAATTACATCGATTTTTTTTATCTTTTCTTTTTTAACATGCGGTTTTGTCTCGCAATAATGAAATTAATTTTTGACGCTTAGAAACGCAGTTTATCTGTCACCGACATTAAGCCTTTCGAAAGTTTTGTAAAAGTAATGAAACGTTGCAATCATTATGTTCTCTTCTAAAAGTAAAAATAGTGATATTAAATCGAGAAACGAGAAAATACATCAATTCATATTATTCAAAAATGGGTTTTTAATTTGATGCAGCATGCAAAAAACTAGTTTCTTACAAATTGACCGTTGCTGACTTGTTAGATGGAGCGATGACCCGTCTTCGCACTAGAAGAATGTAGACCAAATTAGTGCGTAGATCGACGGATTAAAACATACAGCGGCGAACTAAAATGGAGTTTTTTTTAGTACGATAGCGATCATCGCGACAGAATCTCCGTAACAAAAACATTATTATGTTTATTTTTCAAGTTAATAAAGTTATTCAGTCCTTCGGAATGATACTGAGTTGTCGAACGCACATTGACCTTTTGATCTAGATAACTAGTACGAGTAATGAATTATTAAATTATTCATTATGTGTATATAATGCACCACAAATTGGGGTTATCAGGTGTAAAGTCTCCGGTTCATAAATAAAGAAGATAGCAAAACATGTTTGATTTTAATTAATTAGGTCATTTGCGGATTCGCTCGCGTTAAATCTATATAAGAGAAAGAAGAAATATAACCTAATATTTTTTTAAGCAATAAAAAAAAAGAAGAAGAAATATGTTGCATTTTCCGCGCGTAAAATCTATCACATTGTGGTATTTGGTATAGCAAACATATCCGGCGTTGCCGGGTCAAGTCAATTAGCATTTACAAAAAGTATCCGTTATAAGCTGTCTTTGTGCGAAATTTCAACTAAATCTCGTATACCTACAATTTTTGCGCGGATGTGTATCAAGCATCTAAGCATGCATTCACATTTAAAATATTATAATACATACAGAAAAAATCCTTGATTAGTGACGTTGGCTACTGAACCACATGATCTCGGTTTAATTTCCAGTCCAGAGTCATGTGTAATAATACATAATGAGCGCTCAGAAGCCATAGCGCAAGAAGAAATCTTATTCCTTAAGGCGGTTCAATTTATAACATTTCAATAATTATTATAATCTATATTATTTAAAATCTATTTTAATTATAGATTATTTAAAAAAAAAGATGTTAAAAATACAATTTAAAAAAACAATGTAAAAATAAATTAAATTATTATGGTATTATAAGTTATTCGAATGCAGCAACTATGTATAACTTGTTATCACATATTTTAAAATAAAAGTAATCCTTCTATAACACGGTATTTTACAACACGATCACGAGATTTTTCTTTAAAATTATTATAAAATTGCATTATGCACTATGAACACACAATATATGGGAATAACTGAAATTTTACTGCTTATTTTTTATGTATAATAGATAAAAATATATATAAAGGCCTAGTTGAGATGTTTCATTCAGAAATATCACTCTCTTTTTTTACTGGCTTCTAGTCTTATATAACACGATTTCGCATAACACGGGTCTTTGTAAGAACGTATCTACCGTGTTATAACGAGGGTTACCTGTACATTTGAATTTTCTACCGGGAAACAGTCAGTTCACCTTTTGCAGAGTTTCCATTCAGAATTGACTTAGTATTCCAAGGAGGAAAGGAACACAGTGTCTACTAATGACGTCAAATAGGAAGTCACATTTGTTACCAGAGAAATACATAAATGTACCAATTCTAGCTGTGTTGTCACACGGTAATCAGCAATGGTAACAAAGTTTGTTTCCGCATACAAATTATGCAGGAAATAAAAGAAGTGACGAGACATTTGTGTTTTACAAGCTCGTTTAGCCAAATAATAATGCATTTAAATTTATTACTAGAGGATGACCGAGCTTTGTTCGGCATTTTCTTTTTTGATAAATTCTGGTTTTTAGAAATTCTATTTAAATACGAATTACATATTGATAAAATGATGAAATAATATTGTGTCTTTAAAGCAGTTAGTTGCTCTCAATTAAGAAAAATAGTATTATTATTCGCCAATAGATGTCGGGAAGAGTCATAAAGTTGATTATCGATAAAGTTAATTATTGAAAACAAGAATAAATCAACATTTTCTGAAAATAAATCGTAGCTAGATCGATTTACCGCCACCGAAATTCCCTGTATACAAAATTTTATGAAAATCGTTGGAGCCGTTTTCGAGATTCAGATTATATACATATATATATAATACAAGAATTGCTCGTTTAAAGGTATAAGATATTAACGAACATGGCTTTTTTTTTATTTTGAAAACGCAAATCATATTTACTAATCATGATCATATTATATGTATTACATGATCACTTCGCTAGCATGTGATTTGTTGTTTTCGTCTTTAAATTCAGCAGAGAGGACTCACTCATATTCGTACTGATTGCAGAGATGTCCTGGAATTACAAGAGACGTAAGTTACAATTATTTTCGGACGTTATAGTCATGAAGTCGGATACCCGTGATTTCAACTTTTTTGGTAATATAGATAGATTTGTATGACAATTTGTTAAGATTTTACAAATAAATAGTGAAAATCCTATGACTATTACCAGTGGCGCGCACCCTCTATTGTGCTTAATGTTACGATGAGTAAAACCTTTGCAGTTCCAACAATTGCTGTACAAAAATTCATCACAATGAATAGCATACTCAGTCCAGCACAGAAGGAAAGCCCACTGAGTTTCTCGCCGGATCTTCTCAGTGGGTCGCGTTGCCGATGCGGTGGTAAATTCTGATAAGCACTGCTCTTGCTAGGGCCAGTGTTAGCAACACTCCCGGTTTGCTCGCCTACACGTGAAGGCGAAGCTGTAACAGCCTCCCAAGGCTATCAGAATAGGTAGGAAAAAAACAAAAGGAATACGAATTTTAATTAAAGTGATTTTCAGAAATTATGGATAGGGCTTTATGCTTCTCATACTGCTCATGAGTCATCCATCCTGAATTTAGTTAAACGTGTTAATTGTATTGGGGCAGTGAAGTAAAAAGGAGTGTAAATTGTAGTTTATGACGTCACTGCCATGGAGTGGAAACATTCTCGGACGATATG